TCCAGGAAAGCCTGACTGAGAATTGAGAGGGAATGAGAGGAGGGAGGATGTCTCATCCTGAGAATACAGTGTAAATGAGTTCTTCAAATGCTGTTCTGGACCCAGCCCGGCCCCTCCCCAGGCCAAAAGTCAGCTGCTCCCTCGGTCCTCCTCTGGTGCCTTCCCTTGCTTCTGCTGAAGGAAGGCTTCTGTGCTATGCTGAGCCCCAGGGGCTGCTGGTATGGGCTTCTGGGCAGCTGTGACTGGGAGAAGGGCCCTGGAAGGCGGTATGAAAAGCCTTTGGAGCACGAGATTCTCCAAAAATGATGACAGGTCTTATCTGAGCCCTTGGAACACAGGAGACTCCATGTGTCCATCACCTTCGGTGCTTCTGTCTTCCCCTGTAGGATCTAAGTGACCCGGAAAGAAGGAGGCCTCAGAGGGAGCTTTTTTTCTCTTCCTTTTAAAGTACCACTTTTGTTTCCTGTTTACGCCTGCACCACAACCCCATTGGGAAATGGCTAAGGAAGTGGAGGAGGATGGGTGGTGATTGAGACAGAATCTGAGAGACAGGGTGTACTTCACTTAGCCTCTGGTCTGGAACGTTGGGTTGAAAAAGAGGGAGGGAGGGAGGGAGGGAGGGAAGGAAGAAAGGAAAAGGGGGAGGGAAAGGAAAGGAAAGGAGGGGCTAGGGAGTTGGGGCTGGGCTGACACAACTTGAAGCAGCAAGGCAGCCTCTCCTTGCTGCCCTGTGTTGGTCCGAGAACCTGAGTGGGGGCCCTCAGACCCATCACCGAGCAGGAGAGGTGGTGGGAGTGTGCACTGGTCTGGTTCTGCTGTGAGGGCCACTGTGGAGGCCAGGGTGTGGGTCTTGGCCTATGAGTTAGAAATCAGATGGGTTTTGTCTTACTCTCAGTGCATTCTGAACACTGGTCCATGACATGTCAAGTAGGATTAATTATCTTATTAGTTCAACAAATCTTCGGGTGGCTGCTATGTTCCAGATACTTCTCAGTGCCGTGGGAAACAAGACACCACGTGTGTCCCAGCTTGCACAAACTTACCAAGTTGTATACGTGTACTGATAGGTCCTTTATAAAGCACCACAGGAAAGAAAATACGAACAAGACAAATAGAAATAAGTTCTCCTATTTCTTCCCACACTTCAGAGGGTACTAATATGTGTGTTTCAGACGTCCACCTCCACTGTAATTTTGGGAAGAGGATCAGTTTTGAGTTGGGGCTGCCTATTGGAGGTGTGGAAGAGGAAGCAAGTCAGGCAGCTGCTGAGCTCACGTAATTGGTTAGCACATGAGTCTCAGCAAGACCCGATGGCCACCATTCTTTCCCCACTCCACTCTCCTTGGGAAAGGTACCCAGGTTGTCTGGGTGGGTGTTTAAGGTGCTTGCGCTCCTACCCTGTACACTGTGGTAAGGGTATTGAGGGATGTGTATGGGGTGTTGTTATTCAGACCCTTTTTAGTTTTTATAGACATTCATTGATGTTGTGTTTGATCATCCCAACAAATGTCCGAGTTGAGGGATCCTTTCCTCACTGGGAAGACCAGAGAATGGAGGCCTGTGCCTAGTATAATGAGCATGAGAGCCGGGCCCTGGCTGCTGCTTCCTCCTGCAGAAAGTCTTCCTTTCCATCTGCCTATCTTGCCATCCTCTGGAGGAACAAACCAGTGAACATGCTGGGCACCCCTGACTTGGGCTCAGCATGTTCCACTTTTCTTCTGGGAGCAGACTTGGGCTCCAGGTCCTTGCTTCCTTCTGGGTCCACGATGGAAGCTGCACTTGGCCTCCTTTACTCAGGCATTAGCAGCCCAAGTGCAAGGGCTTTTCCCATGGGGTAGGGAGGAGCCAGAACACGGCAGACCTCTCCAGGTTCTCTTAAGTTTCTGTCCCCTTGGCCTGCTCTCCTGTGACACTTGGGTGGGGCAGGGTGGTTGGCTCAGGGTCAGAAGCCTAGAGAGCTGGCTGACTTGCCCCCTCCCCATCCGTGTCTTCTGAGGCTGTTTGCTTTCCTTCCCTTGCATAAGAATTGGCCTTTCTGCTGGTGGGAGAATTGTTGTCTGTGTAGGTGTTGGTCTCCTGCTTAGAAGGAGCCTCCAGGAAAGGGCTTTTTTTCAGTGGCCAGGGGTGAGGCCTGAGACGTTGCAAGTAAAACCTAGGAAGTTAATCTCCTTCAGGCTTGTTCCTTCAAGGCATTTACTTAATTTCCTAGCTGTTCATCCCAGGCCGTGACCTCTTAACAATAGTAATGTCTGTATAGCAGTTCTCATCTCCTACTGCTCTTAGCCTCACCCCATCCTAGCGAGGAGGGAGAGGAATCACATGTGATGATACAGCAGGAAACAGTGCCGGGCTAACATTTATCGAAGGGCCTGGAAGGTCGAGGGAGTCAGTTCCGAGCCGGAGCTCCCTGCCCCTCCCCTGCAGGGGCTCGTCCTGGCTCTTTCCTGCCCTTCCTCCCCAAGGAACCAGCAGCCTTTGCGAGTCTCCTTGACAACAGAATGGATAAGTTAAAAATAACCTTGTGCTGGGGCTTGTGTATATGTGTGTGTGTGTGTGTGTGTGTGTGTTTGTGTGAGAGAGAGAGATGCACCAGACGCATGCCTTCTTGCCTGCTGTGCTCAAGCTCAACCCCTGTGGCTTCTAGATGCTCCCAGAGAGCCTCTGTTGGGAGCCCTCCATGGCCACGCCCAGGTGCTCATGTTGAAGCCCCTGGGTTTAGTTGTCAGGTCTAGATAATCACTCAGATCCCTACCTCATATTACTGATTGTTACAGATGGGGTGTGGGTGATAATGTTGAGATAAAGAATGGAAAGCCCTGGTCGACGTGGCTCGATTGGGCGTCCTCCCATGCACCGAAAGGTTGCTGGTTTGATTTTCCAGTTCAGGGCACATGCCAGGTTGTAGGCTCTATCTGTACCCTGGGCATGTGCAGGACGGGGGTGCAAGAGGTAGCCGATCACATGACATCGAGGTTTCTCTCTCCTTCTCCTTTTCCTTTCTTTCTCTCTTAAAAAAAAAAAGAGATAAAGAATGGAAAGCTGTTTTGAATGCCTTGGTCTTCATTCAGTCCCACTGGAAACAGATAATTTGGGAGGCGCTGCTGTGTTTCAGAGCTTCTCAGCGTGGTAGAATGGGACACAGTCCTGGGTGGGAGTTCGGTTGTATCTCTTCAGTGAACCCCCACAGGTAAGGAGGGCCCTTTTTGGACTTCTTATTTTTAAAAAATATATTTTTATTGATTTCATAGAAGAAGGGAGAGGGAGATATAGAAACATCAGTGATGAGAGAGAATCATTCATTGGCTGTCTCCTGCATGCCCCACACTGGGGATCCAGCCCACAACCCAGGCCGGGAATTGAACTGTGACCTCCTGGTTCATAGGTTGATGCTCAACCACTGTGCCACCAGCCAGGCTGGGCCTGTTTTATAAGGAGAGAACACTGAAGTCCAGAGGCACTTGTGTGACTTTCTGTGCATGGGAGGATGCCCAACCAACTGAGCAACACTGGTCAGAGCTTTCCATTCTTTATCTTAACACTAGAGGCCTGGTGCACGAATTTGTGTACGGGCGGGTCTTTCTGGTCATTTTGGTCACTTGGCTTTTATATATATATAGATTATCAGCTGCACTCCATCCGTCACTATCAGTAATATGAGGTAAGGATGCTGGCTCAGCTGTGGCAGAGCAAGGAGTCATCAGAAGCTGTAGATTGCTCATTCAGGTCCTTTACCAAAGCCAGTGTCTCTTGTATGAGTAATCTCAGACTAAAGGCCTTCTCTTTTGTGGTGTTATCACAGTTGCAATTTAATTTAGAAATAGCTGTTTTCCTGAGGGTAGGCGCTGGGTATCTCTTTACCATACCTGGAATTAACTTTCTGCTTCCTCCTTCCATCCTCCCTTCCATTACTAAGTATTTCCCTGTGTGCCAGGCATGAGGATGTCATGAGAACACAGTGTCTTGGTTCCCATCTTTAGAGAGCAATAGACAATTGCAAAGATTGCCTTGTAAGCCCTCACTGTGGCCAGTGCCAAGAGGGAGAATGTCTCAGTGTTAGAGGGAATGACTGGGATGGGGCTGGGTTTAGGGAAGGCTGGGAGAACGTATTAGTGACGCAATACTTAAATCTGGGATGTATAAAATATTCCTACAAATCAATGAACGGAAGGCAGAAAACTCAGTAGGAAACTAGCCAGTGACTTGACAGATACTTCACAAAAGAAGACATCCAGATGGCCAGTAAACATAAAAACGGTTCTCAATTTCATATATTTACTATTTTGGGAAATTCAAATTTCCCTAATTCAAACTTAAATATGTTTGCACACATACATAATGGAATCTTTAAAGATGTGGTAAAACATCCTTTTGCCATTTCTAGTTTATTTCATTTTGAATTTCTTACTGAAAAAATAAATGGATTCCAAGATGTTTGAATAAAAGGAAATCTAGGGGGATGAACAAACTTAATTCAGAAGACCTGGGCTAACAGGAGATTTGGGGCCAGCCACGGAGCTCCTCAGAGTCCGGGTCTTCATTTGTAAGTAGGGATCTTTTTGTTTCTTCCCTTCCTCCCAGAACTGCTCTGAGGTTCACAGGTATGGGAAACGCTCTAAAAACTGTGAAGGGCTATGCAGATACTAAGTAATATTGTTGTTACTGTCTAATTCTATGTGATTTGATTTTTCACCCACCTCTTCTCACAGCAACTATGCTAAATTACCTTAAGAAATAAAAGCTCTGAGTAGTAGGATCAGGAATGAGGTCCAGATGAAATCTAGTCACAGCCACCTTTTGCATTCTTTGGGTATGAAGGAGCCCCTCTCTCCCTCTTCTGGACTATTCTCTGCCAGGCAATGGGCATTGTGTAGACTGTGGCTGTTGCCCATCATCCTGAGGTGCAGGTGCAGGTCTCTCTTGCAGTAGAGAGCGGGCCACCTTGGCACATGTCAGAGTTGTGTCAGGATTGCTGTGTGTCCCATCTGTTGTGTCACCCGACAATGCCAGGTCCTCAGGCCCAATTTGGGTCTTTGCCCACAGATCTCCTATGACAGGTATGTACTTCTTAGTAGCCTACATTTTTCACCTTTTCCTCTTATGTTTTTCTGCTGTGTAGGAGTCAGAACCAGAAGTAAAGGCAGATGGAGAGACTGCATCTGACAGTGAGAACCGTGCGGAAGCTGCTCCCGTAGCAACCTCTGCAGACGATACCCCAGAGGTCCTCAATAGGGCCCTTTCCAACTTGTCTTCAAGGTAACCTGGCTTGATGCGGGTGCTTGTTGGAAGCCTTCTTGCCTGTCCAAGTGTCATGGAAGACCCAGGCCCCTCAGAGTGCCCACAATCTTGTGGGAGTCCACTTCTGTCCACTGGCGTTGCCATAGTCTCCCCTGCCTCTGCCCAAGGCTTCATTGAGCGTTAGGCATCTTAACAGCAACTGCGAGCACAGCCTGGAGGGGTCTGGCATTTGAAAGGTGCTCTAGGCTGGGCTGGGAGGGGCAGTCCGAGGAGGACAAAAGGGTGGACAGTGGGGTGGTGGTGGGCAATGTTGCTGACACAGCACATGTGGAGAAATGGTCCCTGGGGTTTGACTGATGGGTGGACTGCTTTTCACAGAGGAGTCCAAATTTGTAGTTCAAAGTTTAGTTTTCCCTTTCCCCCTGCACGTCCTTGTGGACATTTAAAAATTCTCCTGGAAGAATTGAGAAATGTCTTAACTTGGGTGAATCCAGGGTTGAAATTCTGGTCCCTGAGACTCTGATCCCTCCAACACCAGCTATGTGGGTAGGTTGAAAACACCAACTATAAGACCCCAAAACATTGTCTAAAAGTGTTTCTGTGGTGCCTCCCACAGACGTGTCCTTTGAAAGGTGGTATTGTGCAGTGGTTCAGGGCATGGGTTCTGGAGCCAGCTCCCAGGGTTCAGTCCCAGCTTAACCACTTCACAGTCGTATGGCCTGTGCACCCAGTTCCTCGTCTGTAAGAACTAGAAGTGTTGAGGGCTGAGTGAATTAATATATGTAAAGTCCTTATAAAGGTGCCAGGTGCCTATTTGTGATACCTGTTACTATCACCATTTAACGTTGTTATCACCACAGCGATGCAGGCACAGAGCGATGCAAGATTCTGCTGCCGGAAAATGTTTACAGTTGTGTGTTTTTGTGGACAGAGACAGCCATAGAAGCTGTCCAAGTAGATTCAGAAGTAGAGGGCACCACGTTTCCTTTGGAATTTTTTGCCCGATTCCTTCGTTAAGACATAACTTAGGTGTAGCCCTTGGGGCACTAGCTGAGTTTGGTGTAGGTGAGGCATTGTCTCTAGCGGCCCTGCTCCCCCCAGCATGTGGCTAGTTTGTCGTCCGGGTGAAGGAGGTGCTCCTGGAAGGCTAACCTCAGGCCCTGTCCTCCCAGGAAGAGCTGTCCCCTTGAGTTTGTGTTTCAGTTATTTCTGGGCTTCTAACGTGCTTTCTCCTCCCCTCCTCTCTAACTTAGATGGAAGAACTGGTGGGTGAGAGGCATCCTGACTTTGGCCATGATTGCATTTTTCTTCATCATCATTTACCTGGGACCAATGGTTTTAATGATGATTGTAAGTGCCATTTGCATACTGTTTTAGTTCTACCTTCAGTTTGTCGGGCAGAATCAGCCATCTGAGGAGCCAGGTGCTGGGTTAGTTCTGGGACTCATTTGGGATCCAGGCTTCACAGAATATTTCTTTCTTAAAATATCTGTGGCTTCTTACTTTTTAGCAGCCAAGTGCAGGGACATGGGCCTAGGCCAGTTGTATGTGGTTAAAGATGCCTCTTCATTTCATTTTATTTATTTTTTTTAAAAAAATATTTTTATTGATTTTAGAGGAAGGGAGAGAGAGAAGTGAGAATCATTGATCGGTTGCCTCCTGCATGCCCCACACTGGGAATTGTACCTGCAACCTCGGCATGTGCCCTGACCGGAAATTGAACCGTGACCTCCTGGTTCATAGGTTGACGCTCAACCACTGAACTACGGCCAGAAGATGCCTCTTCATTTTAAAATTTGATTTCATTATTTCAACTGTTTGATTATATTGTGACCCCTGACCTGACTGTGATTCTTGGTTTTGTTTATTTCCCTGGAGCCTCACTCATTGGCTTAGGCCTTTCATAAGAAATCCCAGCCCACCGTGCTTCTCTCTTCGTCCCATTGTCATGGACAGGGCCAGATGACTTACAGTTGACTGAGGGGCGTAGATGCTGGGGCTTTTTGAGTATTTGTATGCAAAGTCAAAAAGGGAAGAAACTATTGAGTCCTGGGAGGTTATGGAGTAAAAAGTTAATTGAAACTTAAGGAGCATGTATTTATTGTGATAAATTGGATCTATTCTGTGTGACATAAAAGGCTACCTTGCCATGTTCGATGGTGGGAGAGAGAAAAGAGCTGAATCACTGAGGGACTGACATTTTTCTTAAATACAGTGGTTTTTCTTGAAGGCCCATGACCTGTTGGTTTCTGTTTCCAAAGATGATATCAGGTGGTCTAATTCTTGTGTGTCCTGCAGGTGATGTGTGTTCAGATAAAGTGTTTCCAGGAGATTATCACTATTGGCTACAATGTCTACCACTCCTATGACCTACCTTGGTTCAGGACCCTCAGCTGGTAAGCTCTCCAGCCCCTTAGGGACCCATAACAGATTTGGATGATAAGTGTTTTGTGGTAGATATTTACAGTGGTGGTGGGTGGGAGAGGAGTGACGGCCACAGACTTGCATAGCACCTTTTAGACCCGAGTATTTCATAGGCCAGACTATATGGCTGGTTTTGAAGGAGTCTTTAGCAGCTATTAGCAACCTGGAATCTTCCTCAGAAGAAAGCAGAGTGGCTGACATGCTATAGAAGTAAGTGCCGCGGGGGCAGATATCATGTTAGGTCGGGCAGGGTTTTATGAAGAAAATGGTGTTTGAACAGTGAGTAAAGAGAGATAAGTGAAGAGGATGGCCAGGCAGGGAAGAGACAGGAGCAAAGCAGATAGGTGGCAACCTGATAGGCACACAGGGTTCCTGTTGGGAAGAGTGGCAATAAGACCGGGATCCAGGATGAGGCGTGTTTTGGAGCATTATCTTAGGGGTTGAGTGTTCTCAGGTTAGGTATAGAGACTCTACAAAAGGGGCAAATACTCAGTCCCAGGTTTGTGATAAATGGAGGATGAATGAAAGCTGCCATAAGTTTCTAGACAAGCTTCTCACCTACAGTGTCACTGAGAACAGGGGGTCCTGAGAGTGGGGGACTGCTCTTCTGGTCCTCTCCTCTGGTTCCTTGACAGCCTCCCTGTAAGGATAGGCCGCAAGTGCTCCCCACTGCAGTGACCTGTCTTCATTTACAGGTACTTCTTATTGTGTGTAAATTATTTCTTCTACGGTGAAACAGTGACGGATTATTTCTTCACTCTGGTCCAGCGAGAGGAGCCTTTGAGGATTCTCAGCAAATATCACCGGTTCATTTCCTTTACTCTCTACCTGATAGGTATGCATTGAATGGCTCATGAGTTCTTGTTTTGTGTGTCCGCTGAATAGGAAATGGGGAGTTTCTTGGTTAATGTAAAGCTTTGAGGATGTTAACTCTGATCGTGCAGGGGAGCAGAGCTGAGGGCTCTGCCGTAGTGAGCTGTAACAGCGCTTCAGTAAGAGAAGTGGGACTGAGCGGCTTTGTGGGTGTGGGGACTGCAGTCGGTGCCACCTCTCCCTGCTGCAGCCTCTGTTGGAAGACAGCACAGCATGGTCCTGTCCTAGCTCCTATTGGCAGAGATTCTGCAGTGTAACCAAAACAAAACCACCTTTCCTTTTTCTCCCCCAACATGAACCGCTTGGATTTATTGAAATATTAAAATACGGAAATATAAAAGTATTCCATTATTTGAGAGGGAATCTAGAAGGCAGGTTACAAAAGAATACACTATTTTTATACATTCATCCTTATGTTTTTGCATAAACAAAATTCTAATAGGACATAAAGTTAAAATTGTATACAGAAAAGCCACCAGTTTTAATAACTTAAAAGTCCCCCCCCCCCCAAAAGATAGAAACAGTCAGCCATCTTTAGGAGCGTCTTCTTAGGAGAACACCTTGCAGGACAGACATGCAGAGTGGTAGAAATTTTACTGATTTGGATTTTCAAAGACTGACCTCAGAGAGCCTGGAAGCTTAGTCATTCTGAGTTTCAGTGAGCTTTTTTTTAAATCTAGAGCTGAAACTGTGGACTTCCTGAGGATTAAATCGGATACATTAAAACTTGGCAGACAGTGAAGTGCTGGTCAATCTAAACTCAGTTCAGACTGAACTCTCATTCTGTTAGTGCTAGTGATTTTCATAGTTGCCTTTAATGCTGGTTTGAGGCACCTGAGAAAGTTGTTCTGGCCTAAATTTGTCTGACCTATTTTTAATCAGCTCTGGATGACACCTGGGTATTAAGATACAAAATTCACTGCTAAGGAGTCTGCAGACATTGAGGATATGTCTCAGAACCTAAAAGCAGTCCCCCAGCGGGAGGTCAGCGGTGTCTGGAGCAGCGATGTGCTCTCTTCTGGGCAGAACTGCTTTTGAGGGGCCTAGCACACTTATGGGAAGTCTTTTTCCTTCCTGGAAAAGTGGGTGGAGGCTGCACATATTTTTTGCCACCATATGCATCAAAGACAAGGGTGGCTTCTACTCCATACCTGATGGATCCTCTGTTCACCAGACCTCTTCACTGGGACAGGGGTAAAAAACTTTTTCTTAAAAGTCCAGATAATCAATATTTCAGATTTTGGGGGCCCAGCGTCTCTGTTGCAACTCTCCAATCTGCCCTTGTAACACTAAAGTAACCATAGACAATATGTAAACAAATGGGTATAGCTTTGTTTCAATAACATCTTAGATATAAAATCAGGCATCTGGCCTGACTTCTTTGCTGGTGCCTGCTCGAGGATCAAAATATTCTTATCTGGTGAACAGCAACCTGAATTTAGTAGTCTACAAGATTTAAAGATAGTGCCTTCCTTTGATTGTCTTGAAGGAGTCATTTTTCCCCTTCTGATTGCTATCAGAAGAATCAGTTTGTGTCTTCTTCCCCCCTCCCGTTCCTGGGGTTTGGGATTGTGCACTGATTAGGTGCTGCCAGGAAATTAGCCAAAGGATCACAATCACAGTCACGTACACAGCTGAAGGAAATGACTAGGACAAAGGTAAATGCAGAATGTGATTAATTTTGCTCTTTCTCCTCCCTCCTCAAACCAGGATTCTGCATGTTTGTATTGAGTTTGGTCAAGAAGCATTACCGTCTGCAGTTCTACATGGTAAGGGAAATATGTGAGTGTGTATGTCAGAAGGCTTGGCTTAAATGAAATTCTATAAAAACTCAACAGGCGTTTCATCTTTTCCTTAAGAAATCAAAGCTCAAGTGCAGTCTGTTCTGTATGTATCTGGAACCCAGAGCACGAAAGAAGAGGGCCTGATTAAGTTTGGCAACTGTACATCCACTTACTAGTAGACCCAATCACTGTTACTTAATTTACACCAGTTAATTTAACCAATTTCTCCACTAGGTCCTGAAGAAGGTGGGCTCCAGGTAAGGTTCAAGGTGACACTGTTACTAGAAAGAGACCAGGACCAAGCCAGGTCTGCCCTGGCACAATCTGGAATGTTTGGGTTCTTGACTTCATGTAAGAAAGATTTCACGATTTTAGTCAAGGTGATTTTGAGAGTATGTTTATTAAAGCTGGGGAGAGTGAAACAAAGGAAGGGCTTAAGATAGAAAAGGCAGCAACAGGAGTTGCCTAGACACAATAAAGGAAATTACAGTAACAGAAGTGGCACAAGTGAGCCATGCTGGGCTGCGTGGACTCAGGAAACAAGTTACAGAGGCAAAAGGAAGGCCCTTGGAAATAGGTTCAGGGGGTTAGCCCTGGATAAGCTGCCACTGCCCACCATTCCCCTGGTTGCAAGTCTCCTGGGGGACCTTTAGAGCTCAGACGAAAGAAAGCAAAAGTATACACCTCAGGAAAGAAGAGGCACAAGCATGCTCAAGGGAGAGTGCACACCGAGTCCTTTGTCTTAAGTTTTTATCTGTTTTCTGAGGCAGGAATTTTAGGGAGGTCTTATGGAGGGTCTCAACAGAATAGTCAACAGTTCTCCAGGTGTGTTCTTTAATATACTGATGCATCAAAATGAGCATATAGGGCAGGGGTCCTCAGACTACGGCCCGCGGGCCACATGCAAATACAAATACTGTATTTGTTCCCGTTTTGTTTTTTTACTTCAAAATAAGATATGTGCAGTGTGCATAGGAATTTGTTCATAGTTTTTATTTTATTTTATTTTATTTTTTCATGGGTCGATGCTCAACCATAGTTTTTTTTTTAAACTATAGTCCGGCCCTCCAACGGTCTGAGGGACAGTGAACTGGCTCCCTGTTTAAAAAGTTTGAGGACCCCTGATATAGGGAGTTTGGGTTCATTCTCTGGTCAGCTTCACTGCTTTATTTTTTATCTTGGATTTGTCTGGCTTTCATTTTTGTTTGTTTGTTTTGCTATTTATTCTCCTGACTTCATCTGTTTTTGGGTTTGGCTACCCTAATGGCACTATCTGGATCTCTGTTATCTCTCTCCTTGACTAGTGTGATTTAAGCTACTCGCTCTTTCTTTCGTTGGGGAGAAGTGCAAGCCATTTGCTCCTAAGTGTCCTCGGTTAGGGAAGATAAGATCTTGGGATTTATTAGCGGGCCTTGTTTAACATTGCTCAGCCTTGTTGAACTATTTGTCTCAATTTCCCTCATTCCACTTGCCAAGGAATTTCCTGCTTTCTTACCATCCTGCCTCAATGCCTCAGGCATTGTTCACAGATATCTTACATCACTTTCTCAATTTGAACATATTCCTCCTCTGAGTGCCCCAGGCACTCAATAAATACTTAGAAGTACCCAGGCTTTCAGAGCACAGAAGACTTACTCTCTAGTGAGCCATGTGGTCCTGACGTGATGGGGACAGTAGCTGGGGGGACATGATTTCTCCCAGAGGCCTGTTTTGTGCCTTTTCCCTTCTAATAAGAGGTGCAGAAGCAAATATCTTTTCTACCTGTTTCTCAGCAATTTCCTATTTGGTACTGCCTGTTATTTGAAGTTCCTTTCAAGGTAAATTGACAGGTAAAGTTGACTCTTTTTCTTTTGCAGTTTGGCTGGACCCATGTAACGCTACTGATCGTTGTCACCCAGTCACATCTCGTTATCCACAACCTGTTTGAGGGAATGATCTGGTGAGTGAGGAGAGTGAAAGAATTTTCCCTTTTATTTAGTAGGTGATTCTCATGTACAGGTAGGTGCCTTACCTTCTAAGCCAATGGTTCTCCCCTTGCGCTGGTTACAACACAGGTTGCTGAGCCACCTCTTGAGTTTCTGCTTTAGTACATCTGGGGTGGGGCTTGAGAATTTGAATTTAGACGTATTCCCAGGTGATGCTGGTTTTGCTGGTTAGGACCTACACTTTGAGAACCACGGTTCTAGATGAAGAGGAACAGCGATATTTAAAGAATCAAAGATAATGCAACTGTATGGCACCAATTTGAAATCTTAGAAGAAATTTTTATGACTTTCTGACAAAATGTCAACTACTAAATGTCATGAAGAAGAAAATTTGAATAGATCAATAACTATAGAAAATAACTAGATAAAACTTAGTTTTATCTAGCCCTTAATACTAAAGCTGATAAGCATGTGGAGGGAGAAACAAGAATGATAAACTGATTTCTTTTATTATTATAGATAAACTACTCAAAATAAACTGTTAGCAAATGGAATCTGGCAACATGTCAAAAGAATTTGAACAGTCATGTGCTGCTTAAGAACGTTTTGATCAATGATGAATGCATACACTGATGGCTCCAATGGAGCTGAAAAATTCCTATTGCCTAGTGAAGTCGTAGTGAGATGCATTATAGATACTTACCATTGTGTTATAATTGCCTGCAGTATTCAGCACAGTAGCATACTGGACAGATTTGTAGCCTAGGAGGTATCGGGGAACAGAGTGTGTCAACCCCAAATATCTCTACTTGGCATAGGATTATTTTAGGCTGGTTAATTTTAAGAAATATCAGACTTGGGCTAAGCTCTGAAAACCAAGTAGAAGTTACCTTTTGTAAAATACATTTACATTTGTAGGGGAGAATCTCCATTTGTAAGGGTCCCTGCTGTACCAGGAGGAGGGGATAACATTGTTTCTACAAACTGCTATGGAGGCAGAAGAGAACAAATGGACTTAAATCTGCATGACACCTTACTCTTGTTTATTTTGCCCTCCCTGATAGCCTGTGACCGACTCCCCCATCCCTAGCGTCTTCTTTTGTCTTCAGCTGAAGATGCTATTTCATGTAGTTGTTTCAGCCATTTTGGCCAGTTACTCAGTTTTCCTGGTATACATATTTTTAAATTTTTGTTTTTCTCCTATTATTACAGGGATGTGTCAGCCAAAAGCCCAGAAGGGTAGAGGGAAAATTATTTTTCCTCCCCTATAGAGCAATAGGCTATAGCCTAGGTCTATGGCAGGCTTATGTAAGTGCACTCTATGACATTGGTATAAGGATGCAATCATCTAACACTGTATTTCTCGGAATGGTATCTCCATAGTTAAACTGCACATGACTGTACTGTTACTTAATAGATTTTATTCCCGAAATGCAGTTTTTTGGTGGTGGTGACAACGGCACCAGGTGTTAGACTGGTGGAGTCAGACTCAGTGACCTTGATCCTTGAGTTCTGGCTAAGAAATAATTCAGAGCCAAGACCTCAACTATGAGAGAAAGTTTATTTAGAAAGTCACTGAAGTAGAAGTGAGTGGTAGAAGAAATGGGCTCCGGAAACAAGTTACAGAGGCAAAAGAAGGGCCCTTGGAGCTTAGGAGAGAGAAGGGAAAAGGTAACAAGCCTGGGGAGAAAGGGAGGATGAGCATGCTGGGTCCTCTGTCCTAAAGGCTTTTGAGGTGGGGATTTGAGGGGAGATCTCAGGGGAAGATCTCAGTAGAATATTCATTCATCAGCTTTCCAGGTGTGTCCTTCAGGGTAAGGGTCTCTAACCGATTGATCAGTGCCAGGCCAGTGGGGTCATTAGTCAGTGCAGCTGGTACTGAGGTAATCGTGGCATCATTTGTTTGGTTTTGTTGCTTTTCTGTGCCTGGAGTTGAAACACAACTGAAACCTAGATGTATTTGGTTTGGGTCAAAACTTCATTGTTCTGGAGTCTTAATGCTTAAGGGCTACCACAGGACTAGCAACAGACCAGGGGAGGAAAGGTCCCAACCGCATTACCTACCAGCTCTAAGTAAGGTTAGGAGGTCTGAAGTGACCACGTGACCAGTGATATGCTAGGGGAGGAAAGGTTACCCTGGGGGCGAGGATCTTGTTTTCCCAGTTTTGTCTGTTGCTGGGCACCCAGGGCTTTCTGCCCTGATGACTATCTGTACCTGGCCCACTGTCCTTGCTCTGCTCATGCCTGTCCAACAGCCTTCCAAAGCTTCAACAGGAAATCTGTCAGCATTGATACAAATTAGCAGGCTGGTGGAAGAAGCTGGATGGTCTTAGTGAAGAGGTGTGGGTGGCCTAGCCTAGGGTATATAAGAGAGGTACTAAAGTATTGTGGGTAAGACCCCCAGCTTGCGCTTTTGTTTCTAGATTTCAGAATGAGGGTATAGTATTCCCTACCTCCTGAGGAATAAATTACTAAATACACGTAAAGTGCTTAGAACAGAGACTAGCTTATATAAATGTTATAGGACGGTGATGGCGAACCTTTTGAGCTCGGCGTGTCAGCATTTTGAAAAACCCTAACTTAACTCTGGTGCTGTGTCACATATAGAAATTTTTTGATATTTGCAACCATAGTAAAACAAAGACTTATATTTTTGATATTTATTTTATATATTTAAATGCCATTTAACAAAGAAAAATCAACCAAAAAAATGAGTTTGTGTGTCACCTCTGACACGCGTGTCATAGGTTCGCCATCACTGTTGTAGGTATTATGGTTAGGGCATACAGCTCCTTCCCTTTCTTTCAGTTTCTGTTAGGTGTTTCTTAACAGTGGCACATGCTAAGCCCTATCTTTAGGGCCAGATATATTATTTGTTTCTATAGTGAGTACTACAGTTATTAAAATCTCTAGTTATTGGTTTTCAGACTCAACCTATAAGACTTAATTATAGCTACAGAGCAGAGAGTATGTGCTAGAAGCCTCCACAAAGTCAGTGTTGTGGGGTTTGGGGGGATACAGATGCTCTAATTCCCTCCTTAACAAACAGGAAGTCCAAAAATGTTGCTTATAGTTGATGGGCCAGGAAATTGAGATTTATGCATAAGTCTGTAATAGAGAAAATTTTTAAAAAGTGACTGTTAGAGAGTGGAGAGTGAGGAGAGGAGGGTGATGGCACAAATGTGGAAATTGTGCCCTACTCTCCCCCACAACTGGTTTCATGATGGAGATGACCAGACCAGCAGGGGGAGGCAGAGAAGAAACCTAGGTGTGGGTAGATGTGGTTTTACCCTCAGGGTAGTCCTAGGGCAGTGATGGCGAACCTATGACACGCGTGCCAGAGCTGACACACAAACTCATGTTTTCGGTTGATTTTTCTTTGTTAAATGGCATTTAAATATATAAAATAAATATCAAAAATATAAATCTTTGTTTTACTATGGTTGCAAATATCAAAAAATTTCTATCTGTGATACGGTACCAGAGTTAAGTTAAGGTTTTTCAAAATGCTGACACACTGAGCTCAAAAGGTTTGCCATCACTGTCCTTGGGAAAGGTCGGGCTTACTAGATAGAGCTCCTAGTAATACACAGTAAAAAAAAAAAAAAAAAAAAAAAAAAAAAAAAAAAAAAAGTAAATTATGACATAAAATATATTACTTATTAGAATTATGGAGGCAACTACTAGAAGAAGAAAAACCAGAAATGTTTACAAGTGGCTATTTTGGGGAATGGAGATAGGATGGGAGAAACAAGGAAAACTTTTATTTTTTTTCTTTCCTTTACAGTTTAAATTTGTTTTATTGTGTAGATAATTACTTTATAATGACAAAAGAATAAATGACATTTTATAGAATGCCACTTTTATTTATTCAGTAGTCATTCAGTAAACATTTGAATGTCTGCTATGTGCCAGGTAGTGGGAAGGGCTTGTTTGGTATTTTATTTTTTTTTAAAGTTATTTCTGTCCTGGCTGGGTGGCTCAGTTGGTTGGGGCATCTCCTGTACATCAAAAGGTGGTGGGTTTGATTCCCAGTCAGGGCACATACCCAGGTGGTGGGTTCTACCCTGTTGGGTGCGTGCAGGAGGCAGCCGATCGATGTTTCTCTCTCTCACACACACACACCTCTCTCTCTCTTCAATAGTAATTTAAAAATCTCCTTAAAAAAGTTATGTCTTAATGGGTAACAAGTACTCTGAGTTATTTTGTTTGGTACTGGAGTTTATGAATGGTATTATTTTGTGGGCTTTGAGGTAGTATTATCTTGGTAGTGCTGATCCTTTGGTTTATTTCCTAGGTTCATTGTCCCCATTTCTTGCGTGATCTGTAATGACATCATGGCCTATATGTTTGGATTCTTCTTTGGTCGGACCCCACTCATCAAGGTAAATGGATCACCCTAACATGAAATATCACCATAAGGGAAGGGTGATGCTCTCAGCTTGGGAAACAGGGATCTAGCTGGTGTGTATGTCTTCATGTCATCCTGGAGAAAAGTGGTACTACATTTTTTTTAAAGAAAAAAACAAAGGGAAACACCGACAGTTACCCACAAGAAATAAAAAGCTAAAAAGAAAATTCAAATATCAAAAATTCAAGAACTAAGAGAAATGGACAGAAAAGAGAGAATGAGAGTTGCTCAAACTCAGGAAAAGATTATAGAAAGAAAAAAGATGAATAAAGACTAAAATACTTGGTGCCTAAGTAGGAATAGAGTCAAATATAAATTTAAAAAGTTATACTGTTTTGTGAGTAATGATCTATTTTGAGTTAATATTTTTCTTAATTACTTTTATTATTTTAAAATTCTTTATTGTTGGAAGAATTACATGTCTCCTTTTTCCCCCATTAACTTCTCCCAGCTTGCTCCTGCCCCCCAGCACAGGCTGTCACCCCTCTAGTGTCTGTGTCCATTGGTTATCCTTATATGCATGCATATAAGTCCTTTGGTTGACCTCTTATCTCCCTCTCCCCCCCTCCCCTGCCTTCCCTCTGATTGAGTTAATTTTTTAAAAATATTTCTTTATTGATTTCAGAGAGGAAGGGAAAAGAAGAGAGAGATAGAAACATCAATGATGAGAGAGAATCATTGATTGGCTGCCTCCTGCACGCCCCACAGGGATCAAGCCCGCAACCCAGGCATGTGCCCTCAGCCTGAACCGAACCTGGGACCCTTCAGTCCGCAGGCTGATGCCCTATCCACTGGGCCAAGCCGGCCAGGGCTGATTGAGTTAATTTTTATATGTGATGTGAAATTAGGGTCCAAGTTCTTGTTTTTGCACATAAATATTTGTTTATTCCAGCAAAAAATAAAATATTTTATAAACGATATAAGCATATTTTGGGGGCTTGATATGAACTTGAGTATTGCTATTTAATTAGTATACTGTTCTATAATTAAATGATTTGAATGACCAATTGAAGAAAGAAAACTGAGGGGAATCAGGAAGGGAACAAGGAAACCAAGCATGGAGGTATTTTAGAAGGTGGGGTGGTTAACAGAGTTTTTTAAAAAATATATATTTTATTGATTTTTTTACAGAGAGGAAGGGAGAGCCAAACCAGTTAGGGCATGGTTAACAGAGTTTTAACAAGTATTCATTGTCCCAAAGCCAAATATATCAAAATGTCCTTTGCTAAGAACTTGTTCTCTGTCCACAGCTATCACCGAAGAAGACCTGGGAAGGCTTCATTGGGGGCTTCTTTGCTACTGTGCTCTTTGGCCTTCTGGTAGGTGGTGGCTTCCTGTTAGGTAGGGCAGTGACAGAAGCCTCATACCCGCCTTTGAAGCTTATCCAGGGCTAGAGAGCATGTCTCCCAAGGCCAGCGACTCTGTCCTACTCGATGGGGACCTTGCTCTGAAGAGGGGCACCAGATGGCACACTCTGTAACTGGCACAGGCAGCACCACGTAGTCTTCATCTGCCAGTTTTCAAGCAGGGTCTTGGTAGTGTAGGAGCAGGGGCCATGTGCACCTGTACTTCTCTCTTGCCCATGCATGCAACACTCAGCAGGTGGCGCTCTTGTCCAGGCATTTGATATGTCAAGGTCTGGGTGATTGGCACCGGAGAGTAAGGGGTGGGGTGAAATATGCCACTCCAGCTCAGATTTTCTCCTTTGTGTGCCCTGCTTATAGTGGGTGATCTCCCAGCCCTTTTAAGAGCACCATTCCCTGCTCTGACCCAGACCATTCTCCCCTTTGTGTGTTGTCCATCTGTCCTTCAGTGTCAGCTTCCTTACCTTATTGCTCTTCAGTTTTCTTCCTCCTGGCTGCCTGCCTCTCCCTATACAGTTCTCCCACCTCCTGCCTCCAGTGAGCACCAAGTTAAGAGGTTCTGAGAAAATGGACTGTAGCTCCCCACGTGGGTAGAAATTTCTTATAGTTCCTTCGTCGCGTTCCACATTCCTCAGGTCTTTCCTGGACTCAGTCAGCATAGGAATGTTTGAGCAAGTATGCATGTGTGCAACCTCAACAGGGTGTGACCTCCCTCCCCCAGTTCAGGTAAAATACACATGTGGTGAAACCGAAACCTCTTTTTTTTTTTTTTTTTTTTTA